GCTGCCCTGTAGATACTGGGCCCCACTGGGACTCCTCTTGCATATTCTGTTGTCCTGTGTCATGGAGGTCCTGTATCTTTGGATCAACAGGTCTGGTCCCTTTACATACTCCAGCAATTCAGGTAAATGTTGGGGTGAGGTAATTCATAGCCCTGGTTCTGGGCCTGGGTGATAGTCAATCTGCCAGTTTTCCCTGGGTAAGCTCTCCAGCACTGCCTTGGCCAGCTCACCCAATGCATCCTGCAGCAAGGAATGGGGCCAGTTCTCCTGCTCTCAGATCCTCAGATCTGGTCACCCACAATCACACCACCAAAGCCAGCTCTACTGTTTTGCCCAAGCAAGGTGCAGGGCCCTATCTCCTGATTACTGAAGGGGGCATACGAGGGGAGGCAGAGTCAGCTCTCCTGTGTGCGCGCACACACACACACACAGAGTGAGCATGGTCAGCTCTAATGTGCTCAGGCAAAGAACTTTCAATCCAACCAAATATAATGTATCTATGATAATGTATAACAATCACAATTCCTACTGAATTTTTTTTTGGGGGGGGGGGTTGAGACAAGGTTTCTCTGTAGCTTTGGAGACTGTCCTGGAACTAGTTCTGTATACCACCAGACTGCTCTTGAACTCACAAAAATCCTTCTGTCTCTGCCTCCAGAGTGCTGGGATTAAAGCCGTGTGCCACTGATTTTTTTTTAAAAAAACCGTTATGATAGTGCAGCACTCCTTAGGCAGAGATACACAGACCTCTGTGAGTTTGAGGTCAGACTGATCTACATGTTGAGTTCCAGGCCAGCCAGGGCTGTACAGTGAGACTCTGTCTCAAAAACAAAGCAAAGAAACCAAAAAATATATATATTTATTATAAATCTGCCTACTTCTGGGACTTCACAAACTTATCTTGGATTCTTGTTGTTATAGGCAATTACAGTGAATATTGGTGTCATTGCTGTATGTAAATCTAAACATTAGAGAATCTAAACATCTGTCAAAAAAGAACTGGCAAATTTCAAGGCAACAAAAGGATTGGAAAATGAGATTCTATAAATAGTCAAAGAAATCTAACAACATAAAAAAATAGAGAGAGCGAGAAAGAAAAAGAAAGAAAGAAAGAAAGAAAGAAAGAAAGAAAGAAAAGAAAAGAAAAGAAAAGAAAAAAGAAATAAAGAGAAAAGCTGGGGTTGGAGAGATGGCTCAGCAATTACGAGCTCTGGTTGCTCTTCCAGAGAACCTGGGTTCCATTTCCAGCACCCACCTGGCCACTCACAACCTCTGGAACTCCAGGCCCACAGGGATCTGATGCCTTCTTCTGGCCTCCGAGGGTATTACACATGTGTGGTACAAAAACAAACGCATGGGCAAAACACCCTACACAAAATAATAATAAAAAGAAAAGAAAAACTAGAAACACATAGGAAAATAAAAGCTAAGTAGTTGTGAATAAGAACGCCACGTTACTCTGTCTCGGAAAAAAAAGAGTGCCACGTTACTGGGCGATGGTGGCGCACGCCTTGAATCCCAGCACTCAGGAGCAGAGGCAGGCGGACCTCTCTGAGGCCAGCCTGGTGTACAAGAGCTAGTTCCAGGACAGTCAGGACTACACAGAGAAGCCCTGTCTCGAAAAACCAAAAAAGAAAAAAAGAAAAAGAAAGAATGCCATGTTATGTGTCTAGCTATATGAAAAGCCTGGGGCAGGAATAGGAAGAAGCCTTGTGATAACTCACTCTTAGCATCCGGGCGAACATGGCCACACCCGCTGAGGACCTTATAGGGTGCCTCACACCTGCTTGTTAGAAGGCCCGTACCCTGTCCCTTTAAAAGGCGGAACTCTGCCTGCCTCTCCCACTTCCTCCTCTTCGCCTTTCTCTCTCTACATCTCTCTTCCTCTCCCTCTCTCTTTCTCTCTCCCTTCCCTTCCCCCAGTCCCTTTATCTCAATAAAACTCTCCACTTAAGTGCTGTCTACCTGGCATGTCTGTCCCTCACCGCCGTGGGTTCTCACCTGCCACGATTTAGAGCCACCAGCTGCCAAGGTCCCTCTCGGCAGAATTGTATCACTCACACCAAGCATACAGTGACTTTCTTAGGTATGCCAAATGGGTATCAGAAGCAGCCTAAACAATGGCGACAATAGATTCCAAATACAGATTTGTTTGTTTGTTTGTTTGTTTCGAGACAGGGTTTCTCTGTGTAACAGTCCTGACTGTCCTGGAGCTCACTTTGCAGACCAGGCTGTTCTCGAACTCACTGAGATCTGCCTGCCTTTGCCTCCCGAGTGCTGGGATTAAAGATGTGGGCAATCACATTATTTTTTACAGACATAGTCTCACTGGAGGGTGGTAGCAGCGCATGCCTGTAGTCTCAGAGGTAGATGCAGGTGGATCTCTGGGTTCGAGGAAAGAGGGGGGGGGAGGGAGGGAGGCAGGGAGAGAGAGAGAGAGAGAGAGAGAGAGAGAGAGAGAGAGAGAGAGAGAGAGAGAGAGAGAGACCCTCAGGTGACTTGTACGGCCAAGCTGGCCTCAAACTGGTTATGTATGCCAGGCTGGCCTCGAACTACCAGAGATCTGTCTACCTCTTCCTCCCACAGATTGGTTCTTTTTTTTTTTTTGGTTTTTCGAGACAGGGTTTCTCTGTGGCTTTGGAGCCTGTCCTGGAACTAGCTCTTGTAGACCAGGATGGCCTCGAACTCACAGAGATCCGCCTGCCTCCCGAGTGCTGGGATTAAAGGCGTGTGCCACCACCGCCCGGCTCACAGATTGGTTCTTAAAGGGCCCACCCAGACAAATAAAATGGTGCACGATGACTCTGCAAGTTGTTCGGGTGTGAAATGGTGGATATCGAAACTGTAACAAAAAAATTTGCTACGCGCGCTCAAGCCCCCAAAACCTTCCCGCCTCTCCTGCGGAAACAGGGCGGGCCCTGGAAAGGAAGTTTGAAAAGGGACACGCCTACCCACGAGGCTATATAAGGAGGGCGAGCCCGAGCGCGGCATTCAGCGTGCAGAAGGCAACAGGGGAAGACGACGCGGCAAGCTTGCCGCTCGTCAGCCCCATCAGCCCTTCACGTCCATTTTGCAGCACAGAGCGCACCAGGCCGACCCACCTGCAGTGAGCGACGAAGAGCGCCAAAGGTATGGATGCTTTTAAAAACTTGCAAAATTTGCCGGGCTGAGGTGGCGCCCTTTAACCCCAGCCCTCGGGAGGCAGAGGCAGGCGAATCTCTGTGAGTCCGGCAGCTTTTCCACCACAGAGCGCCCCAGGCCGACACAACGGCAGCGAGAGCCATATTTCCCGATGGTGGTGGCGCCTGCCCGCCTTTAACCCCAGCCCTCGGGAGGCAGAGGCAGGCGAATCTCTGTGAGTCCGAGGCCAGCCTGCTCCAGGGCAGCTTTTCCACCACAGAGCGCCCCAGGCCGACACACCGGCAGCGAGCAGCGAGCGCCAAAAGTACAGACGCTTTTGTAAACACTAGGACAATTTTTCCTGGCGGTGGTGGCTCCCGCCTTTAACCTCAGCACTTGGGAGGCAGAAGTAGGCGAATCTCTGTGAGTTCGAGGCCAGCCTGTTCTTTTTCCAGTACAGAGCGCACCAGGCCGACACACCGACGGTGAGCGCCAAAGGTATGGATGCTTTTAAAAACTTGCAAAATTTTTCCAGGCGGTGGTGGTGCCCTTTATCCCCAGCACTCGGGAGGCAGAAGTAGGCGAATCTGTTAGTTCGAGGACAGCCTGGTCCAGGACAGCTTTTCCACCACAGCGCACCAGGACAACACACCGACAGTGAGCACCAAAGGTATGGATGCTTTTTAAAAACTTGAAGAATTTTTTCGGGTGGTGGGGGCGCCCTTTAACCCCAGCACTCGGGAGGCAGAAGTAGGAGATTCTCTGTTAGTTCGAGGCCAGCCTAGTCCAGGATACCTTTACCAGCACAGAGCGCACCAGGCTGACACACTGGCAGTGAGTGCCAAAGATATGGATGCTTTTTAAAAACTTACAAAATTTTTCCAGGCGGTGGTGGCGCCCTTGAAACCCAGCACTTGGGAGGCAGAAGTAGGCGAATCTGTTAGTTCGAGGCCAGCCTAGTCCAGGATACCTTTACCAGCACAGAGCGCACCAGGCTGACACACTGGCAGTGAGCGCCAAAGGTATGGATGCTTTTAAAAACTTGCAAAATTTTTCCAGGCAGTGGTGGTGCCCTTTATCCCCAGCACTCGGGAGGCAGAAGTAGGCGAATCTGTTAGTTCGAGGACAGCCTGGTCCAGGACAGCTTTTCCACCACAACGCACCAGGACGACACACTGACAGTGGGTGCCAAAGGTACGAATGCTTTTTTAAAAACTTGGGGAAGGGCTGGAGAGATGGCTCAGTGGTTAAGAGCACTGTCTGCTCTTCCAGAGGTCCTGAGTTCAATTCCCAGCAACCACATGGTGGCTCCAAACCATCTGTAAAGAGATCTGGCGCCCTCCTCTGGCGTGTGGGTATAAATGGAGGCAGAAAGTTGTGTACATAATAAAAACTTGGGGAATTTTTCCGGGTGGAGGTGGCGCCCTTTAACCCCAGCACTCAGAAGGCAGAAGTAGGCGATTCTCTGTTGAGTTCAAGGCCAGCCTGGTCTACCTGGTCTACAAGAGCTAGTTCCAGGATAGTTAGAGTTGTTACACAAAGAAACCCTGTCCTGAAAAAAAAAACTTGCAAATTTAAATGTAGCTCTTGGTTCCTTTGGCTTGTCTTCGCAGTTAAGTCAGGGTCTCTCGGTGCAGCCCAGACTGGTTTGCCCATGCCTAATCCCCCAGAATCTAATCCCCCAGAATACAGTACAGGAATTGGCAGCATCTGCATCACACCAACGGGAGGCAGGTTTCTTGGGGTCCGTATTAAATTCAAAGTGTACACTCCTACACAGAGTTGTAAAGTTTTGCCTCACCGTTGATAGAACTGCCATGATTTCTACCTGTTCACCAATACTTTTTGTTTTTCTTTAAGGGCCCCGATTTTCTATTAGGATGGAACAAACTTTACAGGACACTTTGGAGGGGGGCGATGAGACTGTTCAGCAGCAACCCCCTCCACTGAAACCCGCGTCTTGTGGGGAAAAATCTCTTCAGGAAAAACTGTATGACATTTATGTGGAGGAGTGTGAAAAGGAGCCAGAAGCAGAGGGCCTTCGAAGCAATGTCAACTTGCTAGAGAAGCTTATGAAGAGAGAGCCATTGCCATGTTTAGTGGTCAGCCTGTACCCAGAAAACCAGGGCTATTCTCTCATGCTCAAGGATAAAGATGGAGTCCTTATAGAGCCCTATCCAGGGCCGTATGTAGGACAGAAACTGCTTGAATATTTGGATGCTGAAGAGTTACCTTCCTTTCTGATTGATATTCTGGAAAAGTCTCCTGTGAATGTTTTTCACAGTGGCTGTGTCATAGCAGAAATCCGAGACTACAGGCAGTGTGGTGACATCTACCCTCCCGAGGAGCCTGCTGCAGAGGCTGCTGTGTCCTCTCCTGCTTGCCAAGTCCGGCATATTCTCTTACGTCCAACGATGCAGTCTCTAGTAAGCGATGTCGAGTCCATGACAAGTGACAGCAGTCAGTGGACCCAGGAAGCAAAACAGGAGCTTGAGAGCCAACTGATCTTAGCTACAGCAGAGCCACTGTGTCTGGATCCTTCTGTTGCTGTCACCTGCACGGCCAACAAATTGCTGTTTAATGAGCAGAAGATGAACACTAACCCCATGCGGCAATGCTTCAAGAGGCATGCATGCCCCTCTCTGGATCAAGAGGAGGTACCATCTGGGTGTTCTTGTCCCCCTGACTTAATGACAACCACTCCTTGCAAAAAGCAGGCAAAAATAAGTCCAGATAACCCATCTGACCTGCAGATTGATGGAACAGAAACATGCAACCAGAGTCCCTGTGAACTGACTGTGCCTTCAGAGATGGACTTGGAGAGCTTTGTTAAAGAGTTGCTATCTCTGCCCTTTGATGAGACTGAACCAACCATCTCAGCAATTCCTGAGGTAAAATATGATTGTATGTTTGATTGTGAGGATGACAGTCAGCTATGGGATAGGAATGAAGATATCATGGAGTGCCTTAATACGCTTCTCAATGAGGAAATAGAGCCACTTCCAGAGGGCAGCAGTGCTAACGCCATGTCTCTCCCTCCTGTTGCCCTGGGTGATTATTCAGATGATTTCCTGACAGGGATAAACACTGAGCCAAGGAAGACAGTGCCTATGTGCCAGGAGGCTGTCCAGAGCCAAGCTAGTTGTCCCAGCAAGATGCCACAGGGGTCCAGTAGCTCAGTCTGTCCTCCTCAGCCCACCCCAGGGAAGAAGTGGTCTTGTAGCTCAGTCTGTCCTCAGCCCACCCCAGAGAAGAAGCGGCCTAGTAGCTCAGTCTGTCCTCAGCCCACCCCAGGGAAGAAGTGGCCTAGTAGCTCAGTCTGGCCTCCTCAGCCCACCCCAGGGAAGAAGTGGCCTAGTAGCTCAGTCTGGCCTCCTCAGACCACCCCAGAGAAGAAGTGGCCTAGTAGCTCAGTCTGTCCTCAGCCCACCCCAGGGAAGAAGTGGCCTAGTAGCTCAGTCTGTCCTCAGCCCACCCCAGAGAAGAAGTGGCCTAGTAGCTCAGTCTGGCCTCCTCAGCCCACCCCAGAAAAGAAGCAGCCTAGTAGCTCAGTCTGTCCTCAGCCCACCCCAGAGAAGAAGTGGCCTAGTAGCTCAGTCTGTCCTCAGCCCACCCCAGGGAAGAAGTGGTCTTGTAGCTCAGTCTGTCCTCAGCCCACCCCAGGGAAGAAGTGGCCTAGTAGCTCAGTCTGTCCTCCTCAGACCACCCCAGAGAAGAAGTGGCCTAGTAGCTCAGTCTGTCCTCCTCAGCCCACCCCAGGGAAGAAGTGGCCTAGTAGCTCAGTCTGTCCTCCTCAGACCACCCCAGAGAAGAAGTGGCCTAGTAGCTCAGTCTGTCCTCCTCAGCCCACCCCAAGGAAGAAGCGGCCTAGTAGCTCAGTCTGTCCTCCTCAGACCACCCCAGAGAAGAAGCGGCCTAGTAGCTCAGTCTGGCCTCCTCAGCCCACCCCAGGGAAGAAGCGGCCTAGTAGCTCAGTCTGGCCTCCTCAGCCCACCCCAGGGAAGAAGCCGCCTAGTAGCTCAGTCTGGCCTCCTCAGCCCACCCCAGGGAAGAAGCCGCCTAGTAGCTCAGTCTGGCCTCCTCAGCCCACCCCAGGGAAGAAGCCCACAGCCAGTCTAGTGTCATTGTCAGCCTTAAAGAAGGAAAGCAAAATTCCTCTACTGGTGTCACTGGCCCCCATCTCGAGACAGGGCCCCTCATCTCTCAGGTCCGTCACACCAGAGGCCAGGCGAGACCCGCCTCCTGCTCCTCAAGCAGTCAGGGTGGTTCAGCGGACCACTGTGGGAATGAGCAGAGTTCCTCCAGCTGGCCAACCCAGTGCTAGGTCATCAGAAAACAACCCGAAGATCCAGCCCCCCACTTGGACCACTCGTGTTCGCGTGATCCGTTTGGTAAGGTCTACTATGGTGGGTAATTCAACCCAGGTCCCAGTCCGCCTCACTAGCGCCCCAGCTGCTGAGGGAACCAGTCATAATAGCCACATTCCAACCAGAGAACCTAGGCCAGCACAGCGCACCGTGAGGCCACCTGTGCGACTCATTATAAATAATACAGCAAATCCCATAAGTGTAAGGACTCCCCCTGGCTCTCTCATTATGCACACAGACTCTCAGATGTCATCCCAGAGACCACTGCAATTTCCACAGCAGACATATGTATTGATTCCAAAACAGCTGCAACCACCCAGCGCCCCTGTCCCCCAGCAGCCACAGCCAGGGCCAGCAGCTTCCTCCCAAGGGTCTAATCCTCAGCAGGTGTCCTTGCCAGATCAGCAAACTAGTCGCCTTAACAGTGAGGGGCCCAGAGTGGTTCAACAGACCCAGAGGTCTGTGGTATTTCGGGTGAGCTCCACCCCACAGAGCCACAGGCAGAATGTTCGGGCCCAGGGCTTCCAGGTCTCTGCTATCATGGTCCGGCAGGGGCAGAGGCAGGGGCAGACCCAGAATGTGCATGTGCGAATCATACCACGCATAGTGACTGTGTCCAGAGCAGACATTCGGTCCTCTGCACGTGGGAATGCAGCTAGCGAACCCAGTGATAGAGGAACGGGAGGGCAACCAAACCCCCCAAGGTCCTGACTCTTACTTCTCTGTAAAATGTACCAGTATTGAGCTAAATCATTCCTAGTTTTTATTTTTTTGTTGGTGTTTGGAATGTGTCAGTATGTGACTGCTTAAAATGCAAAAGTAAAAAGCTCAATGCCCAAAGTTTTGCGTAGAAACAGAGAAGGGATTTTAAAACCTAGGACTGTTTTGCTTATTTTGCTCCTTGTGTTTGATAAAGGAGTGTTTATTGTAGTGTCCCAGTGTGAATTCACATCTGAAATTTGTTATCTTTAGTAATTCCAGATTGTCATTTAGATAAACATTCAAAGTGCAGTCATAAGGGGCTGGACAAATGGCTCCACAATTAAGAGTACTTGCCGCCCTTTCAAGGGCTGGAGTTTGCTTTCCAGCCCCCACTTCAGTCACCTCCAGCTCCAGAAATTCTGACAGACACTTTTCTGGCCTCTGAGGGGACACACATGCATGTGTCCCTCTCACATAAATAGAATTGAAAAATAAAATAGCTCAAGCGATGGCTTAGTGCTTAAGAAAATGTGTGGCCTTGCAGAAGAGCGGGGTTTAGTTCTTTGTGCCGACATGGTGGCTCACAACCAACTGGAAGTCCAGTGCCAGGGGATATGATGCCCTCTTCTTAGCTGCATGGGCACCAGGTACCTACATGGTTCACATGCATATATGCTGGCAAAACTCCCAAGCACATAAACTTCATATGTTTTTTTAATTGCAACAATATACTTTAAGTTCATAACTTAGCAATAATTGAGAGGCTTATTGTAAATGATGATTAAAAACAAACACACATTTTGCTGTTTTAACAAAAAATTTGGAATGAGTTTTGTCTTCAATGGCTTTTTTTCTCACCACCCCTACCCGCCCCCCTCCCCAGCAAAAACAGGGTTTTTCTGTGTAGCCCTGGCTGTCCTGGAACTCACTCTGTAGACCAGGCCAGTCTTAAGTTTACAGAAATCCTCCTGCCTCTGCCTCCCCCCGAGTGCTGGGATTAAAGGTATGCCTACGCCACCACTGTTGAGGCTGTTTTAACAATTTTATAGTCACAGCTCAGTATTAGAAAGCACAATCCCAAAGCTGTGCCACGTGCTTCTAGAACTAATTCATTTGTTTTCGGGACTGAAACGCTGCACCCCTAAACCATAAAATCCCCCATTTCCTGTCCCCACCCCTGGCTGCTTATGCCTCCAGGAGTCTGAGTGCTCCCAGTACCTCACATGTGTGGAACCATGAGGTGCCTATTATATCAGACAGTCTTTTTCACTTGACATGATGTCCCCAAGGCTCGTGCATGTTGTGCCTTGTGACAGATTTGTAAAAATGATTTTCCTGTTAATATGTAAGGAACTGACTTGTGAACCAGGAGAAATGTCTTTCAGGAGAACTTAGTTTGTCCTTCTTAGTTTAAAAGGCCTGCATGCAGCATCTGAAATGCGATTGCTGCGAGCCCGCTGGAAAAACTAATCCCAAAGGAGACCAGAACAAAGGAAAGTCGTCACACTGAAATGTGTCCGCCCTAGACAGGCACCCTGTGCAAGGGAGTCGGTGGCAGATTTGTTTATGGCCCTCCCAGCCCTCGGAAGGTTTCCCAGCACTCGGGGCTCTGGCCAGCCCCAGCTCTCCTCCAGACCCTGCCACTGGCCTGGAAGAGGCAGTCTGGGATGGCTTGCTGTGGTGCTCCTTGGGAGGCCATTTACCTATTTTAGAACATTCTAGGATACTTGCACCAAGGGAATAAGCACTTGGAAATAACATTTACTGCTCTGCTTCTCCAGTGCCCACAGCCTTCTGAGCTGTAAAGTGGACTGTCGTCCTCCTTCTCCTTCTCCCCCTCCTTCTCTCCCTCCTCCTCCTCCTCCCCCTTCCTCTCCCCTACTCCTCTTCTCCATCCTCCCCCTTCCCCCTCCTCTCCCCCTCTACCTCTTCCCCTTTCCCCCCTCCTCCCCCTTCCTCTCCCCTACTCCTCCTCCCCCTCCCACTACCCTCTCCTCCACCTCTTCCCCTTCCCCCCTCCCCCTCTTCCCCTTCCCCCCTTCCTCCCCTTTTCCTTCCTTTTTCCCCTCTCCCCCTCCTCCTCCCCCCACCCCCGTTTATCCTTCCCCAGTTGTTCAGCTCATTTCAGTTTTCCTGTTTCAATGACCTGAACTGCTCCATCTCTTTTGATCTGTTCCCTTCAGAGAGTCGAGGTGTGCTGGGCTGGAGAGATGGCCTGGCCCTTAAAGGCTAGGCTCACATCCAAAACAGGAGAGAGTCAAGGGGTGATCAGTTCTGTAGGGTTACCCACACCAAGGTAACATTTCCGTTACCGTGATCCTTTCGCATTTATGACATTGGCGGCGCTGTGCAGTCAGCCCCTCTGTCTGTATGCCAACCATGCTCGGCACTTCAAAAGAAGTCCCGGGCCTCTTAGGCACAAAGGGGGAAGGCTTCCTCCCCTCCCCCCAGCCACTTTGCTTTGTGGCCCTATAGATTTAATTGTTCTTAGTGTTTATAGTGTATGACTTATACAGTGTTTGGTACAACGTTGTACATCTTGTGTCTGCCTTTTTGCCTGGCATGTGTTTGATGTGTATTCGTCTTGTACTATGCACCGGCACTTGGAGCCTCTTTGGCACATTCCCTGTGTATGGCCTGACCTGTTTATCTGTGTTTGGGCTGTTGCCATCTTTTGGCTGCTGTGGGTAGTGGTGCTGCCATCATTCAGACACAGGTGTTATTTTGCTGTTTGTTTTGTTCCTTTGTAACTCTTAAGGATAGTCTGCCTACATGAAGTCTGCCTTTGTAAGGGCACATGTATGTTTGTTTGCCTTTTGCCCTAAGAAGTGGAAACACGGCCTGTCCATTCTGAAAGAGATTAGCGAAGGGACGGTGATGTCACTGGCATAAACCATGCTGGGCTTCCGCGGTTGCTCTTCAACAAAGATTTGGCCTCCTTCAAGCCCGCTGGTTCCAGTGGCCACCAGAGTGACAGCGAGCAGACGGGAGCATCCTGGACAACGCCAGGAGTGGAGCCTGCACTCGAAAGAAGTGACATGGTCCAGTGAGCAGTTACAAAGGACTGAGCTCAGCCTCTGAGCCCAGCAGATCTAACCTCAGTGTGCTGCCAGTTTTGGTGTCCTTCCTCCCTTTGCTCTGTAACCAGTCCATTCAGGTACAATAAGCAGAATGTTTTGCTTGAGAGATGTGTCCTTTGTTTTCAGACAGGCAAATAAATTCATCTTTGTTTCCAATTTCCATTTAGTGGCATCTGTTTGTTTTCATCCAGTGATCCCCATTGTGGTGACAATTTGTCTCTATCCAGGATCCTATCCCCATATTTCTTACCTCTCAACTAGTAGGCTGACAGACGGCAGCCCCAGAGAGCCTCCTGTCTGCTCCTGCCCCAGGAGGGGTCTCCAGAGTGCTGCAAAGCACAGCTGATTAGCTCCACGGTGCTGGCATCTGAACTCAGGGCCTTGTGGCTGTGCAATAATTTCTCTTAACCAACGTGCACTTTCTCCACAGGATTATTTTGAATGTGCTTTTTGGTATTCATGTCCTTTGCCAAGACTCTATTTAGTCCAGTTTTCTTATTGACTTGAATTAGACCTTTGCAAAGTATTTTAAAGACCTATTTACTACAATTGTTATTTTTCCCCTCTGCTATTAAGTCTTGTTAGTTTATTGTGGCCCACTTTTATGATAAAGTTTTCTATATGTATGAGTTTTTCCTTTGTCATTCTAGATCGTATTTTATGCCTCGAGTCCTTTTTTGGCTCCTGAGATTTTTGCATGAATTTACCAATGTTTCCCTCCAGTTATTTGTGGATTCCTATTTACATTTAAATTTCTGATCCAAATAAAATGCTATCAATGTAAAAAAAAATAGAATATGAAGTTCCAGATGTGATAGCTCACACTTGTAATGCCAGCATTCGAGAGTCTGAGGTAGGACTGGTTGCCTGAGCTACAGATAAACGCGCAGTCTTGACCCTGCTCCACAAAATAGAACCATGAAGGGGCTAACACAAGTTAGCCTGCTATCGTTTCATGGATGCTGAAAGAAGACAAAAGAATATCGGGTCGAGACAGGACTTTATTATTTATAATGTAGCAAGCAGCAGTGAGAGATAGGTTATTGATTCCTTTCTCCCTAAAGTCCCATGACTGCAACAGTAATATGGGCCCAGGTAAATGTTGCACACACAGGGATGTGTGTCACAGCTGACCAATCCAAATGCAGGAAAGAGCAGCGCTTTTACTATTTTTTAGATTTATTTATTTGACATGTTCAAGCATTTGCCTGAATGTATATCTGCACCACGTGTGCCTGCAGGGGTCAGAAGGTAGCATCTGATCCCCTGGAACTAAAGTTACAGATGGCTGTGAGCCACTTTGTGGATGCTTGGAACTGAACCCCAGGCCTTCTCCAAAAGCAGCAAGATCTCTTAACTACTGGACCATTTCTCTCGTCCCAGGAAAGGGGAGTGTTTTAGAAGAGGCTGAAAAATGGTCTAAACCTGCTCTTGAAGGAGCTATTTTAGCCCTGAGCTCCATAAGGTTTTCCACTATACAAACTTCTGGAAAAGTAAGTTTAGGAACCTGGGGATGGCTCTATACTGGTACCTCTTTCAGGGGTCCTCTGTCACCAGGCATGCATATGGTGTACATACATACATGATGCAGGCAAACATGCACGCACAGGCAACTAAAGTAATTTATTTTGGCTGGAGTGGTTGTTCGGTGGTTTGAGAGCCCCACTGCTTTCGCAGAGGACCCGAGTTGGTTTCTAGCACCTCCACTGAACAGCTCACATCTGCCTGTAACTCCAACTCCATAGCATCCTTTTTTGGACTCTGTGGTCACTATAGGCACATGCACCTATACAGACATACACACACAACTCAGGAATATGAAAATGCAATTTAAAAAAGAATGATGGACGGGCTGGGGATATAGCCCAGTGGTAGACTTCCCTAACTTGTGTGAAGCCCTGAGTAAGATCCCTAGTGCTAAAAGAAATG